AAGAAGAAGAAGAAGAAGAAGAAGAAGAAGAAGAAGAAGAAGAAGAAGAAGAACAACAACAACAACAACAACAACAACGACGACGACGACGATGACGACGACGACGACAAGAAGAGCGAGGACACAAGGAGTTGGTTCACATTAATGACAAACAGCCACAGTTGCACGTCATCTCACCAGAATCTGATGCAGAAGGGCCCGCGGATATTTCGTTTAGACAGTAGTCAGTAGGCAAGGTCCAGAGAGAATTAAACCCCGCACCTCCAACAACACCTCCAACAACACCTCACAGCCGCGAAGACGTGATGTGCACTGACTGTGACAAGGAATCAGAGACGTCCGTTCAACAGGAAAAGAAAAAAAAAACAGGAGAGGAAGAAGAAGCAAGCAGTCAGAAGACGAAGCAGATTTGCAGCGGACGGACAGACGAACGAACGAACGAACGACAAAGTGTGCGAGATCGTGCCGCTGTCTCACTCTAGCCTACTCTCTGACGTCTTGGCTGAATGAGTGAATATCGTAGGTAGAGTCAACAACGGACGTTTTCGCCTTCCCCCTCCCCCACCCCCCTTAAAAAAAGCCCCCCTCCTTTTTTCTTCCTTTTTTTTTGGGGGGGGGGGTGGGTTGTCACTCCTCTCTCTTGACTAGGGAGGTAATTTTCGCTTACCGCTGTCGCGGGGACGGCGCAGTACCACAGCAGTGTGGGGGCCAAATTGGGCTCGCGCACGCACGCGAGATGAAGTAAGTTGTATGTTGTTGTCACGAGTAGCTTTTTATTATTGCCCACGCTATTTGAATGACAGAAGACGAGGGTCCCACCGGTGAAGCCGAGCGGGGAGACGGACGGGAGAAAGAAGAAGACTGTCCTGAAACAGTCGCCCGCGGGTCGCTCAAAGGCACTCCACGCGTCTCAAAGACATTCGCAGACAAAAGACACACATACGGCTGCTGCTCTTCCCCCCCCCCTCTTCCCCTCCGTTCCCCTTCCGTCCTTTTTCTTCCTCGCAGAAGACATTAAGTTCAGCACATACGACCTGGGTGGAAGTGGGTGGGAGGATGAGGAGGGTGGGTCGGGTTGAGAGGGGAGAGGGGACATT